TTAGTGTAGTGTCAGACACACTTGGGAGAGGGACCTTTTCGTGGCTGTAGATAAGCTGTTCCTAATAGTTTGTGCCTGTTTTTTCACCTTTGCTGTCCTTGGTTTTGTGTAAACATTGAATCCTTGTGGGGATGGATAGTTGAGGTGATTGGAAGAGGGTGAGATTAAAGGGAAGGCAAGAGGCTACAATAAAACTCCCAGAGTACATGTTCTCATGTCTCTAGTATTTAAACTCTATTTTTTTTTTTAACTCAGGGAGTATCATGCAGTGTGAAAGTCACCCCTTTTGAAGTATACAGTTCAGAGGCTTTTAGTCAATTTGACTGTCTTGTACAATCATCGCCACTGTCTAATTTCATGCTATTTTTGTCATCCCAGAAAGAAACCCCATACTCATTCCCCAGCTGTCCCCTGAGCCCCTAACTTACCTCTGGTCTCTGCAGTGGTAATGTGTGTGGGCTTCTGGGACTGGCTTCTCTCATTGTGGGGGGAGACAGTCACTGATGTGTCTGCATCGTCCCTTTGCAGGCTTCAGAAGATGCCATTGTTAGGATGCACATATTTTGTTTATCCATTCATGAACTGATATTTGGGGGAGGAGGTGTTCACCAGAGACCGAGAGGGGAGCAGAACACGCGGATCTACTGAAATGCACTGCTAAGGGGGAGGGGGAGTGTGGAGGTGGGGAGGACAGAAGAGTCATGTGGGTCACTCCCTGGCTGGGGATCGAACCCATGCTGCAGTGACTGTGGACAGCTTCATAGTGCTGAGACTTAACCCCTGTGCCACCAGGGAGAGCCTAGATTATTTTAAATTTTTTGTTGTATTTTTAATGCTGTAGTATACGTTTTTGCTTCTATTAGGTTATTTCTTTACAATAAATTGTCAGAAGGATAGTTACTGGGCCAAAGGGTATGAAAATATTTATGGGTATTCCAAAGAAAATCCCATTTAACAGGTTATTTTACTACAAAAACTAATTTTTGTAAGCATTTGGCATTTTATTTTAAAAAATTATGTATGTGTGCACACACGTGACCATACAACATATACATACTTACATGTGTGCTCCCCACCCCCAGGGATGGCCCTCCTTGGTTGAGAATCTCTAAGAGGGCACCATCAGGCCACTGAGGCAGACGCCTCCCCCAGTCTGGCCCGCTTCCTGCTGCGTGTTAAGGTTGGTCAGGACCCGTCAGCTTAGCCAGGGAAGCCAAGGCCTCCGGAACAGTGCAGGAGCAGGGAGCTCGAGCAGGAAGCACGTGCCGGCTGCTGCTACTACCCGGCGGGAAGCATGGCTTTTGCTGACTTTTCTCTCAGTTGCTGCCCATTCGCTCATCGGTCTAGTTCATCTAGCAGATGTTCGCTTAGCTTGAGTGTCAGGTACAAGACGCTGTCCAGCTGGTGGGGACAGGCCAGAGAGAGACTAAGGGACAAAGCCCTATGAGCCAAGGGCATCGGCAGCCTTTTCCAGGGCTTTATGGGCAGCAGAATGAACCTCCATGGAAGGCAGAGGAGAATCGTGAAGGTTTAGTTACTTATTGGTGTGTAACACAGCACCCAGAACTTAGTATGTGAAGACCAGGAATCACTTACTAGCCCAGGGCGTCTGCAGATCAGAAACTCAGGAGCATCTCGGAGACTGAGTTGGGAGACTCAGCTGGTGCGAGAGGCCCGTGTTGCCTCAGACAGATGTTGGTGTTGGACCGGGGGACTGTTTCCCTTCACTGATGTGGCTTCTAGCGGTGCTTGTCCAGGGCCCTCATGACATGGCCCCAACCCCCTGAGGCCGGTGATATAAGAAACCACATGGCCTGTCCTCGGGTGTCCTGGTTGCTCTGTCGTGCTGTCAGCAGAGGGGGAGCTACGCTCGGCTCCGAGGGGACAAGGTGCATGTACCAGGCCTGACACCCAGGAGATGTCACCTGGGAGAAGGCTTCTTCCTCTGACCTGGGTCATGTGCCTTGAGGCTTTGTGTGTGGGTAGGATAAGGAGAATTTGAGGCCAAAGAACAGGGACAGGAAGTAAGCGTGTTTGGACAGTGCCGGGGCGGCAGCAGGACTGCAGAGAGCAGCAGCAGGTGGCGTGGTAGAGCGACTGTCTCCCGTGGCGAGTCATTTGTGTGCAGAGCAGGCTTGGAGGGATGGGAAGTGCACCTGAGACACTGAAGCCAGTAGGAGCCGAAGGGAGAAAGGTGTTGCCACTGGAAGGTGTGGACAGGTGGTTGTGGAGGCGCTGACAGAACCCACGGTTGCCCAGAAATAGCCCTGAGGGAGAGGAGCACAGGCTGAGGGGTGCCCCCACGTCTAGAGGTGTGCTGAGGAAGGGAGGGGCCCCACAGGAGGGCCGGGATGAAGCCTGCTGCTCTTTCCTTCCCCTTGTTAAGAGCCCTCAGGTAGACCCCTCATGCCAGCTCAAGGCCACGGTTCCCACCCTGCTCCCATCTGCAGGAGTTGCACTGCCGCCAGGTCTGCACTCTGACCACTCGCGGGCTGGGCCTCCTAGAGCTGCAGGACATGCGTGGGTCTCCAGGGACATCTGATTGTCTTTATAACCAACATTGGTTAGGAAGTACAGGACTGGCAAACTAGGGGAGAAGACTGTACATTTAATTTCTAAAAAACTCCTTCTTGAGCACCTCAGTCGTGCCCCTCCAGGGCTGCTTATCAACAGTGTTCTCAGCCCACCTCTGACTGCAGGAGTGCGCAGGGCCAGCCCCAGCTCCCGTCACCACTTGTAGGGTGGTTTCTATAGCAACCTGGGGCAGGAAAAACCTGACCGTCCAGTTTGCAGTGCTGCAACATCCGGCTTCTGCTGGGAAGAGGGAGCTGCTGAGAGAGGTGGGTCTGTGGTCTGTCCTCCCAGCGTTGTGGGGACTGGACATGCCCAGAGCCGTGTGAAGCCGCCTCATCTCTGGGTCTCCCCAGCGCAGCAGCCAGAAAGCTTTCACACCTCGGGTGGGTTCAGGTTCCGCTGTGCTGAGCCACCCCTGTAATGGCCCAGGGGGTCCAGAAAGTAAGGCGCCAGGTCCCTGTGGTGCGAGGCTCTCCAGCACCCCTGCTGCACCCCCACCTTTTCCCTCCCATTGGTGTGACAAGGCCCCACTCAAAGGCCTGCTGGGTCCCCTTTCCTGGGTTCTGACGTCTCCTCACAGAGCTTTGCTTGACCACGTGACCCAGGAAGCCCCTCTGATACCTCTGCCTTCACCTGCACCACCTGACTGGGGGATGCCCCTGGGGGTCCCTGTGGTGCTCACATCCTAGTGGCTGAGGGGGCAGTGGGAGCGCATGCTTAGGTCAGGACGGGGAGCCACCTACTGGAATAGCCTCCCTGTGCCTCAGCTTGCACACTGGACGGCTCCTTTTCTCCAGGACAGGCACCCCTGCATCCTTCCCTGCCTCTGCCCTGCGTGAAGGAACAGCCGCCTATTCCGGGTGGTGGCTGTGGCGTCTTCCCGGTGTCACACGGGCACGGGTTGTGTGAACCCTGTTGTGTGGTCGCTTGTGTGGGTTGCACTGGATGAACGTCAGCCACCTGGCAAGGCTGTGTGTGCCTGTGTGGTACATACAGGCCCAGGTACTAGCAGGCTGTATCTAGAAAATACCAGGACCACTCTAATATCCGTGACTTAGTGCTGTGCTGAAGCCCTAATTAGCGCGCTCCTTTAACTTCATAACCACCACAAAAGTAGGCCCTGCTGGCCCGTTATGGCCAGAAGAGACCTAGCGCTCATGACTGGATGCGCAGGCCTCCTAGGGTAAGGAAAGAGCAGAGGCAGTGCATCATCACAGCGGCAGCCGAGAAAAGTGAGACTTAAAATGATTGGGCCTGCCCAGTCATAGCAAGGGCGAGCAGCAGAGCTGGGTTGAATCCAACGGGCTGAGGCTCTGAGCGCGCCTCCCAGGCTGGTCCCACACAGGCTGCCCGCTGAGTGGCTGCTGGCCTTTGCTTCAGCTCGCGAGTGGACAGGAGACTGGAGGGTGTGGTGTTTCGGGAGGGCGTGCTTTTTGAATCTATTTAGAAAACTACATTGTGGGACACCCAGGCCTGCAGGGGGACCTGGCAAGCCTCTGGGCCCCCAGCAAACCTTGAGCTTTCTCTGGGCTCTCTGGCCCTATCGTGTCGTCCCATGGTCTTGCTGCTTCTGTAGCCACGCTGCTGGGCCGCTCGTAGCTGTCGCCCATCCGCATGACCCCGACCAGGTGCCCACCATCGCCCGCACCTCTTGTGTCTGCACCAAGGGGCAGCAGGTGACGGCCACAAGGCACCGGAAGCCTGGTTCACTCACGCACCCTACAGGCTGGCAGTCTCTCTAGGCTTCGTGTAAGGAAGCACCTCACGTGTGTCATGAGGCTTGAGTAAGATGATTTTTAAAAACTTCTAGTCCGGTCCTCCTACCAGAATGTTCTGCCCAGCCAACATGCCAGTTCAAACTACACATGGTGCAGTGGCCTGGTGCTAGCTGGCTGGTCTGCAAGCAGGTGGCACCAGCCCGCCTGGAGTGGCCTGGGTGTGTGGGGCAGGAGGAGGGAGTGTCCTGGCTGAGCTGCCTCAGGAGCGACAAGATGACACTCTTGCCTCCAAGTTTGCAAATATGTCTTCAAAGAAAATGGATTTTTTCACATGCCTGCACCTAGGTCCATCTCTAAATTATTACTCAAAATTCTGCCTTACGGAAACCTATTCAGAGGTTTGCGTCATAACCAGTTTTGATTGCATTTTTCTGTTTTAAAGAAACATTTGCCTGAGCATAGGGCATCGAAGTCCGTCTGAGTCCATCCAGCCTTAATAACAGGGAAGCCAGGTGGCCCCCACCTCCCCACCCCTGGCTCACAGATTTTTTGGGAACAGGAACTTACCAGCTTTTTCAAGCTGAATCTTCTCCGGTGAAATGCTGAGCAAGGTAGCTCGCTCTTTCAGGTGTAAGGGGCCAGTACTCGGGGTGTGGGTCAGACCAAGAAAGGAGCTTTAGGATGATGTACCCTCTGCTCTCCCCCCAGGGCAGATGTTTCTGGACCCCATGAAACTTGAGAGGCTTGCAGCTGGGAAGACACTAGCCTAGGAAAACGCGGAGCGTGGGTCTGCAAGCTCTGCCTGTCCAGGATGTCAGGTAGGTGCAGGCCTTGAGGGGCGGCCCAACACCTTCCGTATAAGAGACGCGAAAGTGGAGTTTGCTGAACCTTCCCTCCCTGCTCAGCGGCCTGCTTTTCCTGAGTCTCTGTCCTCTTCCCAGCGTGCAGAGCCTCGGTAGAGGCGGCGGCGAGATGAAGTCTGGCTATGTTACGCCTGTGCTCCCATCTCATTTCACGTGGTTCCGACCCTCCTCGGGGAAGAGGGGTTGGGAGGTACCAGGCTTGAATTCCCACCCCTGAAGGCTCTGCATTTTCTCATCTCCTGTTGATTTTAGGGACCCACATACCTCCTGCCAGTGGCCCCTTCTCAGCCCTGACTCCGAGCATGTGGCCCCAAGAGATCCTGGCCAAATACACGCAGGTAGGCCCTGGCCAACAGCAGCAGCTCTGTGCTGGGTTGTGGCTCCGAAGGGGAATGCACTGCTCCAGGCTCCCTGGCACTCCCATCAGCACACTTCCACAGCAGGCCAAGCACTGCGCCCAGAGCTGAGGGGATGCAGGGTTGCCCAAAGCTTGGCTTTCCTTTCTTAGTAATATCTTTTGACCTCTGAGGAAAGGAAAATTCTCGGGGAAACCAGAGGTGAAGGATGACCTCAGAAGGCTGTAGGGGAGGTGGCCTGGTCTAGAACCTGTGGCCAGACCCTGATGCCCCCCCTCATCCTGGTTCTAGAAGGAGGAGTCAACGGAGCGACCAGAGTGGCGTTATGACGAGTTCGGCTTCCGCGTGGACAAGGAAGGTGAGGGCCTAGTGTCCACACAGCCCGTAGGGTGGGCGGCAGCTCAACGGCCCCTGGAGCTCTGACTCGAGTGAGGGGCAGAGCTGGTCTGTAGGCGGGAAGGCGAGACCCCAAACTTGCATCTGCCAAAGGTGTTGGAAGGCAAAGCAGACTTGGTGTACGAGAACTTTAATAGGATTAGCGCGTGTAGAGAGGAGGGAGGATACGTTTCTCCGAATCACCCAGCCAAACGGCCACAGAGGCCCTAAGGTCTAAGGCACCTTCTGGCAGGAACCACAGGGAAGGAGGGCGAAAGGGGCCAGGCAGCAAATCAAAGTAGGAACGCAGGTGACAGTGTAACTGCTACAGCGTCTCCTCCCTGATGTCTCCAACAAATCTCTGGTGCTGAGCAGCTCCGTTGTGCCCTAGTCAGGGGGGTGGGGACACAGCCCCTCCCCTTGGAGCTGTCCACAGCGAGGGTGCTGCTGTTCCTTTGGGAGTTTTAATTGTTATTAATCTTCTTGTGTGGTAAAAGCGAGAATGCCCTCGTAGAGAAGTTGCTCATAATCCTACACTTGAGATGCTGCAGATGCTCCTCCTGGCTTTGCGAGTCTTTGTGTGCTTTTCATAATTTAAGATCTCACAGCAGTTTTACACTGTGCTTCTCTACCATGAGATATTTATGTCACAGCTTTACAGCCATCATTCTGGTGTACCCCCTCCAGGAAGGGCCCTGTTTCTATTATAAACAACCCTCTGGGCTGCCAGAGGGGCTTTTGAGAAAGCAAACCAGAAAGCCTGTCTCTGGGACAACTGACAATTTAACAAGCCAGGCACCCTCAGGCCTCTCCCATTTCCAGGCGGTGCCAGGCCTGAGGGTTCCTGGCTCTCTAGTTTACGGGCAGACAACAGCAGCTCAGCTGGGCCTGAGACAGGACCTTGTCAGTGTGCTGGAGAGCTCTGTCTTGGTGGGACAGTGTTTGACATTTGTTACCTAAGTGATACTTGAGATGGGTGTGAGCCATTAACCAAAGCTAAGAGGCTGTGGCTTTAGCGGGGGTCAGGTGGCATCGGGGGTGTATCCCATCTGCTCTAGGAAAGTGAATCCTCGCTCACCAAGCACTGCGGGAGGCTAGCTGTGCTGGGAAGAGGTAAGCCAGTAAGTGTGCTAATGCAGAGGCCCTGGGGCAGGCCTGGACTTGGTGGGCACCAGCTTGTAGGGAAGGGCACAGCAGGAAAGCAGTGGGCAGGAGAGCCTCTGGGTGAGGTGGCGGCACTGCAGGGCCCCAGAGGAGGACTGGCTGGTGTCCCGAGGGGCACTGAATTGCTCTGTGCAAACAGTGTGAAGGCTCTGCAGGATCCAGATGAAAGAAGCAGGCTCAGGCTAGGCCGAGGGCGGAGTCAGTCTGTGCTCCGAAGGGATCTGCCCAGCGCTGGGCTGGGGTCTAAGGTCCCGGCTAAGTGGGTCTGGGAAAAACCGCGGCAGGAGCGGTGAGGCGGAGGTGAAGGGCTGGCCACCAGACACACAACCCAGGCCTGCACTTCAGAAGGGAGTCACCTCCCTCCAACTTCCTGGGCGCACCCCACAGATGGTGCTGCAGACCCCAGTTCCAGCAAGCTCCTCGGGGTGTCTCTAGTGGAAGACCCTCCACAGAGGCTGCGGTGGCAGGCCCACCTGGAATTCACCCACAACCACGACGTGGGGGACCTCACCTGGGACAAGATCGCCGTCTCCCTGCCCCGCTCAGAGAAGCTCCGCTCCCTGGTGCTGGCCGGCATCCCACACAGCATGAGGCCACAGGTGAGGTGGGGAGACTGCAGGGGCTTCTGGGACCCCACCAGAGCCTGAGCCTCACCCTCCACCCCCCAGCTGTGGATGCGACTCTCAGGCGCCCTACAGAAGAAGAGGAGCTCCGAGCTGTCGTACCGAGAGGCGGTGAAGAACAGCTCCAATGACGAGACCATTGCTGCCAAACAGGTGAGGCGGCCGGAACACCTTCCGCAGGAATCACAGCCTCAGTGAGGGCAACCCGGGTACCTCTTGTTCTGGCCTGACGCCTGGGCTGGGGTCGAACTGTGTAAGTTCCCAGAGGGGCTGGTGGAGCAGTAGCCCTGGCTGTGGCCACAGGAAGCCCTAGGGGAGGCTGCCTGCCCAGGGGCCACCCCGCTTCCTGGGATGGTGTCTACACGTGCAGGGTGTGGGCCCGTGCCCACAGCTGCACCTCACAGCTCCCGGGTGGGGGCTGTGACAGATCGAGAAGGACCTGCTCCGCACCATGCCCAGCAACGCCTGCTTCGCCAGTGTGGGCAGCATCGGCGTGCCACGCCTACGTAGGGTCCTCCGTGCACTGGCCTGGCTCTACCCTGAGATTGGCTACTGCCAGGGCACCGGCATGGTGAGCACAGCCCAGGCGGGGAAGGGTAAGCCCAAGGGCCATCTCCAGGCCCCCAGTGACCATCCAGCACAGTGGTACAGGAGGTGGGAGGCCCCCAGGAGGCTGGGGCTGCCATGGAAGGGGCACCGATGCCCAGGAAGGTGCATGGCCCATGAGGCGACAGTCCCCAGAATGTTGCAACTCCCGGGGAGACCAGGGTACAGGCCTGTCCCGCCCCTGCCAGGTGGCTGCCTGCCTGCTGCTGTTCCTGGAGGAGGAGGACGCCTTCTGGATGATGTGCGCCATCGTCGAGGACCTGCTCCCCGCCTCCTACTTCAGCACCACCCTGTTGGGTGTCCAGACGGACCAGCGGGTCCTGCGCCACCTCATTGTCCAGTACCTGCCTCGCTTGGACAAACTGCTTCAGGAGCATGACATTGGTGAGGGCTGCCCCCTTCCTTGAGGGCCGCGAAAGCTCCGTGACAGTGTCCCAGCACCCCGAGTTTCGGTGGTCACCTGTTTTCTCCCTGTGGAGCAGGCTTGGCCTCTGGCAGCCTTGGGGGGCACATGCTCCCTCACTTCTCCAGTCTCATGAGCTCCTGGCGTGGCCCCGTCCACAGAGCTGTCGTTGATCACGCTGCACTGGTTCCTCACGGCCTTCGCCAGCGTCGTGCACGTCAGGCTGCTGCTGCGCCTCTGGGACCTGTTCTTCTACGAGGGCTCCAGGGTGCTGTTCCAGGCCACGCTGGGCATGCTCCGCCTCAAGGTGCCCACCCTGCCCCACTGGCACTCCAGGAAGGGGTCCCGGGCAGCCAGTGACCCCTTCCCTGCCTGGCTCAGGAGGAGGAGCTGATCCAGTCGGAGAACTCGGCCTCCATCTTCAACACGCTGTCAGACATCCCGTCTCAGATCCAGGACGCCGAGCAGCTGCTGGGGGAAGCCATGCGGCTGGCTGGCTCCCTCACTGACGTCGCCGTGGAGACTCAGCGCCGCAAGCACCTGGCCTACCTCATGGCAGACCAGGGCCAGCTCCTGGGGACGAGCGCCACCACCAGCCTCTCTCAGGTGGGCCTATGGAGAGGGAGGCGCAGGCTGCCTCTGCTGTGACTCTGATGGGCACCCCTACGCCCCGCCTTGGCTGGTTTGGATGTAACGTCCAGCTCTGATCTCAGTCCAGGGTTGCACTGACCTGCATCCCTCGCAGGTTGTCCGTCGCCGGACTCAGCGGAGGAAATCCGGCATCACCTCCCTGCTCTTCGGTGAGAATGGCTGTGGGGGCCAGACTGGGCATCGGTCAGTCCCTACATCCTGGGCTGGGGCTCACACTGTGGGCTCACAGGGGAGGACGACCTGGAGGCGCTCAAGGCCAAGAACATCAAACAGACGGAGCTGGTGGCTGACCTCCGGGAAGCCATCCTGCGTGTAGCTCGCCACTTCCAGTGCACGGACCCCAAGAACTGCAGTGTGGTGAGTCCCAGGCTGTGCGTGGGGGCTCGACTGAGGGGCTCCCCTTACAGCCCCCGCGGCAGGGAGTGGGGGCAGGACTTTGGGCTGAGGTGCTGCTCACTGGTGCAGGAACTGACCCCGGACTACAGCATGGAGAGCCACCAACGGGACCATGAGAACTACGTGGCCTGTTCACGCAGCCACCGGCGCCGGGCCAAGGCCCTGCTGGACTTTGAGCGCCACGACGACGACGAGCTGGGCTTCCGCAAGAACGACATCATTACGGTGGGTAGCTGCCGCTCCTGGGGGTCCGGCCCCCAGCCCTGGGCTGCCACTGGTGGGGCCACCCGAGCGCTTGTGCTGCATTTTCTCCACACAGATCATTTCCCAGAAGGACGAGCACTGCTGGGTGGGGGAGCTGAATGGCCTTCGAGGTGAGGTGACGCCGGCTGCAGCAGGTGGGAGGGGCTGGGGGGACAGGCGGCCTTTGCTGGGTCCCCCTCTCTCCCGGCACCTGCCTTGGGCGGGTCGCAGGGAAACAGGTCTGCTTCTCAGGGGCCCACTCCTCCCGCAGGCTGGTTTCCAGCCAAGTTCGTGGAAGTCCTGGATGAACGGAGCAAGGAGGTAAAGGAAGCCGGGCAGGTGGTCTGGGGGCAGCCACCTTGCCAGGCCTGTGTCCTGGGCAGGTGGGCCACACAGTGGGGGTGAGGTCGGCTGCTGCTCAGGCCCTGCCCCCTCCCCATCAGTACTCCGTCGCGGGGGATGACGCGGTCACCGAGGGCGTCACAGACCTTGTGCGAGGGACCCTCTGCCCGGCCCTCAAGGCCTTGTTTGAACACGGACTTAAGAAACCATCTCTGCTTGGGGGCGCCTGTCACCCCTGGCTGTTCATTGAGGAGGTGAGTCAGTGGCAGGGCTCCAGCACCCCTGGACCTGCAGTGATCTGCCCAGCTGGGCCTGCGGCTTGACCTATTACCTGCTGTTGTCCAGGCAGCTGGCCGGGAGGTTGAGAGAGACTTTGATTCTGTATATTCACGCCTGGTGCTCTGTAAGACGTACAGGTACCGTGGGGGCTCCCGTGGGGGAGGGACAGCAAGCCCACCGCACAGGGCAACACTGACAGCTTTGTCCCCGCAGGCTGGACGAAGACGGCAAAGTCCTGACCCCGGAGGAGCTGCTCTACCGGGTAAGCGGGGCCGTGGGGGCTGGTGGTGGGGCCGGCAGCAGGGGCACCTCAGTGACGGTGGCACCTCCCAGGCGGTGCAGTCCGTGAACGTGACCCACGACGCGGCTCATGCACAAATGGATGTCAAGCTCCGTTCGCTCATCTGCGTGGGGCTCAAGTGAGTGGCTATGTCCTGGGGGGCGGGGTGCTGGGTTTTGTGCCCAGAGGGGCTGGTCAGGAAGCGCTCCCACCGTCCTGTCCCAGCGAGCAGGTCCTGCACCTGTGGCTGGAGGTGCTGTGCTCCAGCCTGCCCACCGTGGAGAAGTGGTACCAGCCCTGGTCCTTTCTGCGCAGCCCTGGCTGGGTCCAGATCAAGTGTGAGCTCCGGTGAGAAGTGGGGGCCTGCCAGGGTGGGACGTGGAGGGGGTGGGGGTGGTAGCGCCCCTGACCACATCCCCTGCTTGTGTCCAGTGTCCTCTGCTGCTTCGCCTTCAGCCTTTCCCAGGACTGGGAACTTCCTGCAAAGAGAGAGGTGGGTTGTTGGGCTGGGCCCTGTGCTGGCGTCGCCTGTGAGCAGCACTCAGGCTGGCCCAGTGGTGAACATGAGGGACTGTCCCTGTGCAGGAGGAGAAGCAACCCCTGAAGGAGGGCGTTCAGGACATGCTGGTGAAGCACCACCTTTTCAGCTGGGACATAGATGGGTGACCCTCGCCATCACCCCCAGGCCTCCCCAAGCATCGGTGACCAGAGCAGCCCTGCCCTCAAGGAAACGGTCAGGCCCATTCAAGCTGGCTTTGGAATGGGGTCTGAGGGGACCCAGGCCCACCCCAAGCTGTAGGGTCAAGGAGACGCCCGGGCACCAAGATCAGGGCCCAGCTCAGCCTGTGGGGGCTCCTGCCCCAGCTTCACTGCTGGTTCCAGCCAAAACTTCGGGCACCTGTCAGGTTTTTCTCAGGAAGGGGGTGGGGTGGCCAGGGGCTCCTTGGCCTCTTTGTAAATAAACTGTCTACGAGAAAGTACTACCTGTCTCCTGTCCAGCAGGACTGCGCAGCCTACGTCCAAGGTTCCGCTCCTGGAATTGCCTAGGATACACAGCCAGGCCAGTGGCAGGGAGGGGCCACCGTGTGCCCAGCTGTTAAGCCACCCACCCCTCCAGGGATCAGACAGGATGGGCCAACACATGGTGCTTGTGATTTTATTTTAAAAAAACACACACAATTCCCCCCTTCCCACTCCCCCCCCTCCCCGAGTGACAGTGACCGGCCGGGAGGGAGGGGAGGCCCCAGGCAGCCACCTTTGCCCTTCCTGTCTCAGGGCCATGGTGGCTGCAAAAAGGCAGTGGGATGGAATGTGGGCAGGTGGCACCCCTGCCCTCGTGGCACTGGTAAGGAGCAGGAAGCGAGACAGGTGGGGGCAGCCAGAGGACTCCACATCTCGACCCTTCTGCATGTGCCAGACAGGAGGGAGTTGCATCCCCCTCCTGCTCCCCAATAATATAAGTGTTGTATCTATAGATGTATGGCGATGATATAGAATATGTATGTACACTGTACAGTCACACCTGGCAGCAATTCTGCAGAGCCAGGACGCCCCCACCCAGGGAGCTTGGCGGAGCAGTGTCTTGGGGAGATAAAGGCCCAGTGTCTCCACTTGCAGGAAAGTGGGGAGAGGAAGGAAGATTTGCCCCCTTAGCCCCTGACCTCTCCTGTCTGAGCCAAAAATGCAGTTAAGGGCACCTCCAACCTCACAAAAGGAGGTCAAGTAGAATGGCCCCCCCCACGGGCCTGTCCAGGCCACCAAAGCCCCAGGGTGGACCCAGAGCTGCTCAGAGCAGCCTGTTGCCCTCAATGAGCCTAAGCAGGTGCAGGGACACCCCCACTCCAGCCCCCAAGGAAGGAGAGGCAGGGCCCGTGATTGTCAGGACTCACGACCACACGGAGAGGCTGGGTCAGGCAGGAGACGGTCACGGTCCCTCAAGTTCCTGAGGCCCCCCCACCCCCCGCACTTCAGTCCTCCTGCCCCGGCCCTGTAGACTGAAAGCTACAAGCAGGAGTCCCAGTGTAGCTGCAAGTCGTGGCCGTCCAGGAAGTCCGTGGAGAAGAGGCTCGGGGCTGTGGTGCTGAGCGGAGCCAGGCTCAGAACGGGACCACCAGACAGCTCCAGCCAGTCCATGCTGTCCAGGTGGCTGTCACTGAGGTCCAGGCCCACGCTGCTAGGCTCAGAGGCAAAGTGCAATTCCGAGGTGTCCATGGGAGACGGAGGGTGGTCCAGGATGGCTGAGCTGCTCAACATTTGGCTATGGAGGTCATCAATGAGCGAGAGGGACTCGGACCCCTCGTGCCCGGCGGTCAACAGGGGCAGCCCAGTGCTGCTCTCCAGGAAGTCCTCCAGGCGCCCAGGGAGTGCAGGGGAACCTGAGGGGGCCAGAACCGCTTGTGGCTGCTCAGCAGTGGGTGGGGTCTGCACAGCCAGCGGCGACCCACAGGCAACTGTTGCCGAGGGCTTCTCTTTCTCTGGCTCCTTGAAATCTGCTGAAATTTCTGTGAAGAAAGTGAATGGGTGTCAGACCCTTGGCTTATACCAGGTAAAAATTAAAACAGACCAAAGATTTAAATTTAGGAAACAAAACTCTCAAAGGAGAGGTTGGGGGGGGGGGGAGAGTGTGTGTGTGTGTGTATAAGAATGGGGTATAGGCCAGAGGTGTGGGGTGGGGCGTGGTGAGAAGATGCACCAGAGGCAGAGTGGGGAGCAGAACAGGCTGCTGAAATACACTGTGAGGGGAGCAGCCAAGAGACTGGCAAGGTCTGCTGCACCCTGTGGGTCACTCCCCGGCCAGAGAGCAAACTGGTGCTGCAGTGGTTGGCCATAGCTTGACAGTGCTGAGACACAACCCCTGTGCCACCAGGGAGGACCAAAAAGAATATGATAATGATTTCTGGGACACGACACCAAAAAGGAAACAAAAGAAAAGCTGGGCTATATAAAAACTTAATTAGCATGGAACACTGCTATTGCAAGTGAAGAAAGCATCTACTGGACGGGAGAAAATGCTTCAGATGACGTGTACGCCAGGCCCAGGGTCCCTCCTTAAGAAACCTGACTGACTGAAGGCACAAAGGAACAGACTTCACCAACAGAGGGTCTCTGAGCTACTGACAGCTTCAAGCCAAGACCACCCTGCAGGGCCAGCGGGAAAGGGGCAGGCTGTAGCGTGGAACCCAGGTGAGGATGAAGCAAAGTGACGTTGCTGTAGAAAAGGTGTGTGGTTTCTCAAGAAGTTAAATACATAACTGCCAGGGACCGAGCACGTCCATTTCTGGGTGCAGAGCCACAGAGCTGAAGCAGGGCGCCTCCTCGATCCAGGCGGTCACCCGCATCACAACAGCCAAAGCCAGTGAACCCCACATATACGTGAAGGGTCCAGCCACAATGAGGAGGGCGGCCTGCCTTGCACTACAACACAAGACGAACCTGGGGGACACTAGGTGAACCCCAAAACCAAGACACCAGTACTGTGTGATTCCATGTACATGAGGAATCGTACAGACAGCCCTGGCAGGCAGAGGTGTGCTGAGAGCCCCCCATGGACAGTGCTGGTGCCGGACACTGCAATTGCGCGTTTAAAACAGCGCCGAGCAGTGGGGCAGCGTGGACTTGCCCACACGTTAGAAATTGACAGGCAGCTCCCCCTTTACTGCGGCCACCTGGGCTGAGGGAAGAACTGACGAGACCAGGCTGCTCCCTGACCCTCCAGGTCTGTTGACCTGTGGGGCTGTCACCCTCAAGACACGGGGGCTCTTCCAGGCCCCCAACTGGCCACTTGCAGTCTCTGGTGCTGGGCAGGCAGTACCCACTCTACACCCTCCCTGCCTCCTGGACACGGAACTCCCAGAGCCCTGTGTGCTTGCCTTGAGTGTCTCCCCCAAACCCTCTGCAGACACCTGCCCGGTGGCCCCTGCCTCCAGCAGCTGCCTCACCCCACAGCCACAGACCTGGCCCAGGCAGCACCCCTACCACACAACTCCGGACTGGGTTCTTGTCCTCTTGATTCCCCTTAGCAGCCTGTGCCCTCGGGATAACCCCTCCTGAGGCCTCCAAGCCACTGCCCCTGCTCGGCCAGCCTCCTAGCCGTGAGTACCATTCTAGATGCCCAGTCCTCTCCAGCCCTTGCCTCAGGCCTAACAAGACTTCCCAGGCATCATCCCAGGACACTGAAGCCAGACCAAGGCTACCAGCACTTCTTCAGGGTGCTCCCATGGGCCCTCGCTGCCCGGTCAGGGGCGGGAGCCCAGGACCCAGCCCTCCACTCAGGGGCGTCCTCTTGGTCCTGGAGTGCCCGGCCGCCTTCCTGCTCCAGCCCTCCCCTCTGTGGGACAGTTCTCCAGCTCCCACACTCACTCCTTTCCACATCCCAGTTCCACCACTGCTCCCCAGAGGTGCCCACAGTCCAAACTAGCCTGCTGGAGCTGCACCTGACCGCACCACAGCCCTGCCCCCCCCCCCAAGGGCCCTTTGAACCCGAGCTATCATCTCTTATGGGCAGATGTTGCGACTGCTCACTGCTGTAGCTTGGCTGCGTGATGGCACCCACAAACCCTCTGGGCAAACCCAACAGTCACCAGCCGCCCCTCGTTCACGAGCCTGTACGCAGCTTGGGGCCAGAGGAAGCCCTGGGCCGCGGCCACCCTGTGATGGAGTCGGGCTTTACCTCCACTCTGAATGAGAATATCGAACAGGTCATCCATCTGCTGGCTTGAGGAGCCATTTTCCTGTGGACAGAAAGAAGAACCCTGACCATCCAGAAAGGAGGCCCCGGCCCCAGCTCAGTCTCTTTCTGTCCCTGAACTGGCAGAGACCCTTGAGCCCCAAGGCCTCTGAAGGCCTCTCTGACCCTCCAAAGCCTGGCTCCCAGCTGCCGTCTCCAGCTGGGCTCAGAGACTGGGAGCCCGGCCGAGGTGCCACCACCCTGACAGGCCCCAGTCTACCTTCTTCACCTGCGGCCGGGGCTGCTGGCTCACAGCCTCCTCATAGCCAGGTGGCTCCTTCTTCAGCAAAGAAGCCGGTGTCCCAAAGAGCGGCAGTGGTGGGGGCTCCAGATCCATCTGGGCAGGTGGGCCGGGGGCTGGGGACCCAGGCTGGGACCCAGGCTGGACAGGAAAGGCAGGTGAGGGGAGCAGGCCCAGGCCTGCACACTCTGGGGGACAAGGAGGGGCACCACCTTCCACACTGGGCCAGGTTTCCTGGCCAACCGGGGTGGGGGGGCATGGAAGTCCCTGGAGGAGCTAGATCGGCCGGGGGGGGGGCCCTAACCTCTGCAGCAGGCGGAGAGCCACAGGGTGACCGCCTGGGGTTTGGTAAGAGCCACAGAGGGAATGAGGGGCTGCGTCCTGCCCCATCTAGGTGCTCAGTGCCCCTCATCTCCCGTCAGGAGGCATGTGGCTCCTGTCACTGTCCCCACCACCTCCTGGCCCTGCAGACCTGAGGGCCACCGCAGCTGAAAGCAGTCTCACCTCTGGGCCGGGCTGAGTGGAGGATCGGGGCTCAGTGGGTGGCAGCAGCAGGGGGCTGACAGCCGACGACCCCTTGGTAGGGGACAGCTGGCCTCTCTGCAGGGAGGGAAAGGGGCTGGCACCAGGGTGGGTGCAGCCGCCCAGGGCACCCTGACCTCTCAAGGCCCAGCCTGAGAGCAGAGGTGGGGGCACCCAAGTGGACCCCTGCCAGGCGCTGAAACGTTCTTATGTGATGCCAACGAGGTGGGCAGTCCCGCTGGGCTCACCCTCAAGGCTGGGGGTCGTAGGTAGGTCCCTTAACCTCCCCAAGTCATAGCAACCTCCTTGTTCGTGAAAGGGGAATAAGATCCCTCCGTTTTGAGGCTTGAAGGGAAGACTGAAGGAGGCAGATTTAACCTGCTTGGGAGGGGGCAAGTGGTGCTATAGTTAGAAGTATCTTCCCTGCCCCCACCCCCTGGCACCTGCCCTCCCACACCCAGATACCTGCTGGGGGCTCCCGCTGGGCAGGCCAGAGCTGTCTGCATTCTTATTGGTCACGGTGAGGACAAGGTGGGTCCCAGTGGAGTCAGTGATGAGGGTGGGAGGTGTGATCCCCTTGACGTGGCTGGGGCCAGGTGGGCCCAGGAGTAGCTGGGGGTTGGGGGCCAGCTCAGGTTCAGGCAGCCCCGCTTCCTGCTTCACTACCACGGCTGGGGGCGCCAGGGCACAGGCATCTACGAGGTGGTGGGGGGCCAGACTGGGGCTGAAGGGGAGTGCAGGGCCCGGGGGCTGCTGGCTCAGTGGACAGCTGGGGAAGCTGTTCTCCTGCTTCACCGGGGCGCCCAGGGCAGCGGGGGCGGCGGCCGGGGCGGGCTGCTGGGCCCGCTTCTCCTGCTCCAGCTGCAGCCGGAGCCACTCCACCAGCTGCTGCTTCTGCCGGAGCATGCGGGTCAGCTCCTCGATCTGCTTGTCCTTCTCCTGCAGCATCTGGTCCTTATCGCGCCCCTCCAGCTCTGCCCGCACCCCGGGGCTCAGACAGCAGGACCCAGCCCGGGGGCCCTCCTCCTTCACCAGGATCTGCAGGGGCGAGGTCTGCAGGGTGAGCTGGGTGAGAGGTGACGTCACCATCTCACCGAAGGCATCCCCGGGAGTGGAGTTCTCATCGCCCGTGCTGAGCAGCGAGCGCTCTGAGGGCGTGGGGGACACTGGCGGCGTGGAGCCCGTGCTGCCAAACTTCACCACTCCATTGCTGGTCACTGTGGCCACCACCACCTCTGCTGGAGCCAGGCCTGCCGCCACCAGAGCAGGCCCGGTGCTCAGCCTTGCTGCTGGGAAGGCGACCACCACCTCGCCAGCCTTGGGCAGGATGGATGTGGCAGCAGGGGCCTTGGGTGCCCCTGCGGCGGGGCTGATTTGGTCTTGGTAGGCGCGCAGGCGCTCTATCAGCTCTGTCTTGGTGCCCGAGACAGGCAGCGACCGCAGCTTCAGCTCTTGCTTCAGCTCTGCCACCTGCAAGCGGGTGTAGAGTCGGGCCACAGGGCACACAAGCAATGGGGCCCAGACAGGAGGGCATGAAGAACGCTGGGAGAGAAGCTGTCTGTCCAGCAGGCTGGCGCCTCCAGGCTCCACTGGCCACTTCAAATCTGCCACCCTGTCCCCAGCTACTGGGAGGGTGGGCCATGCTCCCCGCCTCGCCACATCGGGGCCTGGCTAAGGCTCCTGCTCCCCAGTCTGGACGTGACATGAGGGCCAGCAGCCCTTATTTGAGTGAGCTGGGTTACAAAGGTCAAGCCACACGCTCCAAGCACAGAGTACATGGGAGCCAGGAGTCAAGTCCTGGTCTGGGGATCCGCAGTCCCCATGTCTTACTGGGATCAGGTGATGACCAGGAGGGTCTGTCTGGGCGAGAGGACACACACTCGGGGGTACACGTGCCCCCTTTCACCTGACGGGACAGGAAGCAGGCCAGAGAGAGGCCTGTGACGCGAGTGGACACTCGGCCCCAGCCATGCAGTGGGACATGGTGGATTCTTTCTGTTGGGCCAAGTTACAGGCCTGGGGTGCTGGAGTCGAGAACCCAGAGTTTGAATCGTGGCTCTATTGATGGCCAGACTAACTGCACACAAGCCTCTCCCACATCTACCGCTAGTCTGTCTTGCCACAAGGGTGCCCCCGCTCAAGGCCCCCACAGCGCCAGAGACTAAAGAAGATAGGGCACAGGCTGTGCCACAGACGGTCGTGACGGTGACAGGACACGAGACAGGCTGATGGCCTTGGCCCTGTCTGCCTGAACACGAGTCCGGGACAGCCGCGTGGAGGCCAGGCTGGCAGTGGGGAAGGGCAGCGCCTACCTTCATATCGTCCAGGTTGGCAGGCAGGGCGCCTGGCTTGCCACTAAGCGAGGCGCTGTTCTGACGCGTCAGCCCACCAGGCCCAGGGGCACCCGAGCTGGAGCTGATGTTGGCGGTGGAGAGGCTGCGCACTGGGGTTGCCCCGCTGCTCCCTAGAGCCTCACCCGCTGGCCTGAGGGAAAAGTGCTTTCAACCACTGCCCTCACTTCCACCAGGCCGGGCCAGGACGGACAGGGCTGCCACAGGCCCTGCTCGGGGAGTCCAGACCCAAGGTCAGGCCCCCCCCACCAGGCCCGGCAGCCCCAAGAACGGGCCGGTGGTGCTGAGGGTGCCTACTTTGGAGGGGCGGGCAGGATGGCCTGGTAGTTGTAGTGCTGCTGCTGCTGCTGGTTGAGGATCTGCAGCTGCAGGAAGAGCTGCTGCTGCTGCAGGATCTTGGCGTAGGAGGAGTCCAGGGGGGGGGCCCCCTTGTCCTGCTTTTGGTCCGGGGGGATGTACTGGTGGTACTTGAGCTTCTTCACCTTTGGCTTCAGCTCCTTGGCTTTCTTGCTGCGCTGCGACTTCTCGCTGGCCGACTTGGGTTGGCTTTGCTGGGGGCACAGGAGGCAGAGGTGCAGTCAGGGGCAGCTGCGCTGCCGGCGAGCAGATGCTGAGAAGGCGCCCAACAGCCACCTGCCCATGTCCACTCTCCTCCTCAAAGGCAGAGGCCTCATCGGGGTCCACAATGTGCCTGGGAGGGAGCCCGGGCTGACGGGCTGGGCACCGACTCTGAAGAAAGTGTCTGGCCTAGAGAGAAAATCTACCACATGCTGAGGTCACCGTGACCCTGAGCAGAGTGGTTTGATGTGGAAGTAAAAGCAGCCAGCTTATGGTGCTCGTGCTGCCCACAACCACGCCACAGCCCAGGGACCTGTTGGGCCGTGTCTCCCTGAAACTGAGGGACCGGAGAAGATTCCTCAGAAGTCGCTCACCCAAGGTCACACCAGAAGGAGGAGCCAAGGTGCCAGCCCAGGGCTCTGAGAGCCCCTGTTGTTCAGTGCTTTCTGCACACGGGGAGCCCTGGACTGTATGGTCAATGAGGGCCCAGCAGACAAGAAGGACCAGCAGCACAAGCTGGGGAGGCCCAGCCCTAGCTCAGGGAACAGTGGCGGTGTCTGAGGGCAGAGCTGAAAGCCCCTCGAAAGGGTGCAAGATGGAGACCTGAAGTGGACCAAGGCCGGGGACTCCGCCAAGCACCAGTGGGGAACTGGAGCAAAGATTTGGGTAGAGGGGACCTAACAAAGCAGGTGGCAGGTGAGAAATCCAAAGGTTCACGGTTTTGAACTTTGGCAACTGCAGAGAAAGAAGCCCCGTCACGGAACCCCCAGTCAGGTTCTGGCCCTGCTGGGAGGTACAGCAAGAGGGGAATGCACGCAGCTGGCAGACGCTCACATGGATGGAGACAGGGCGTGGCACACCCCATGAAAGGGAGGACAGAGTCGGGGGAACTGTGCCAATACCAGTGGAAAGCAAAAGAGCAGACGGCGGAGTCTGCAAGGGGTCAGAGGTGGACCGGGGCGGGTTTGACAATGGGAACTCTGAGGAGACATTTTAGTTCCCTGCCGGCCAGGAGCCACAGGGTGGAGGCAGTACAGGAAAAGGGGAAGCGCAGACACCGCGCGCACTGTCGGACGTGGGCGGGCAAAGCAGCCGCCAGCTGTGTGACGTGAATGGGCCTAAGGGAGGAATTCTGGGGGGAAACCTTGACTGTGCTCAGTCGGGAGCAGGCCACAGAGGCAAGAACGGTGTGGCTGACGGGCCGCTCGCTTCCCCAGGGGCCTTCCTGCAAGGATGGGGCATAGCACTGGAGGGCACCAGGCTGCATCCAGGCTGGGAGTGGTAGAAGGGGAGGGGCACAAGCCAGGGACACCGAGCCCAGGGTCGGTGGAGCTAGAAAAGCCACAAGACAAGGGAAACGGGCGGGCGGGCGGGCGGGCAGGCACAGGTCCCGCCACAGGGCAAGGCACGCCCACACGTGCCGCGCAGTGACCGGCTGTGACCCTCCTCCCCAGCGGGTCCCACGGCGACAGGTAATGGTGCCCCTTGGGTTTTTCAGGTCTTGAGGACAAACGCCCGACATGGCCAGTTCTGCGACCATGCTGGTCACTGCACTCGGGCCTGTCACCTGTGGAGCAGTTCCGTCTGGCAGCGGACAGAGGGAGGCAGGAATGAGCATGGGGAAGCCCCGTCCGGAGGCAGTCACGTGGCCTGGGGACAGCCAGTGTCCCCAAGGAAAACAGGAGGAATCCACGTGGCCTCAGTGCGCGCTGCTCAGTCCCGGGAGAGGCCTCTGGGGCACAGGCGAGGGCGGGCGCAACCAGCAGCAAACTGTACCTTGATGAGCGCGGGGGAGGGCTTGGCGGCGGGGGCAGCAGTCCCGTTGGTGAGGTTGGGCGGCAGGGGCGGCTGCTCTGCCAGGAAGGGCGCTTCTCCAGAATCCAGGCCCACCGGGAGCTGAGAAACAGCCTGGAAAAGGAGAGGGGCGTGAGGGTGCCCCCCTTTCCCTGCCCCAGAGGCCTAAGCCCGCTCCCTGCCTGCCCACCACTACTGTGAAGGCACAGGCGCGGGGCGGGGAGGCAAAGGCAGGCAAGATCACTGGTGTGAACGGGCACAGGGCCAGCAGGCTGCTCCGAGGGAAGACCACGGCACAGGCCAGCGTGCTCCTACTGCCAGGCGCCCCACTGCGCCCTCTGGGATCATGGGCGCTAGGGTAGCGAGATGGCCCACATCTCCCTCCCCACCCTGCGGACTCCCGCAGCCTGTGCATGGCCTACTAGCCCAAACCCTGGCTTTCTGTGCCACTTAGCATAAGCAAGAGCCCTCATTCTGGTCAGTCTGGGGTCTTGGGGGGCAGAGGGAACACTGGGAGTGGGCAAGCTCACCTGAGTGGCAGATACGGGGGTGGCGCTGGGCAGTGGCTCACTGACGTGGGCTTCCAGCGGCGACGGCACTGAGCCCGGGGACTCGTGGCTGGCAGGCTGTTCAGGGGATAAGGCATCGCTGCTGTCCTCGTCGAAGGAAGAACTGTCCGCCACTTTGGGGTAATTCACCTGGCCCACTGCAAGTCAAAGCCAGGTCAACGTCTACCTCCGGCCCCAGCAAGTGAGAAGGGCGGCCATGCTCACAGCTCAGACTAACCCAGCAAAGCTTCTGCCTCTGGGTCCCCAAGTCCCAGCAAGGGAGACCAGTAGCCAACCCACTTTCTGGGTCCAAAGTAAGTCCAGGAAAGCTGATGAGCATGACCCAAAACCAAGGCCAGGCCCAGGAGGCCACCAGCGTGCACCCGGGGGGGCTCCCCCAGGTGAGGAAAGGACTGAGAGGACCGCTCTTCGGCCTCCAGCGTGTAACTGGCTGCGTCCTGTCTCTGAAGTCAAGTTCCGCGCTCCCCGCCCCCCTGCTGTCCCTGCTGCCAAAGGCTCACTGTCTGTCTCATCGCGTGGCTGTGCTGACCTCTTCTGTGGGCCCTGCGACAAGGGGCCTCGGGAGTGCACCAGGGAAAAGGGCGCCTGCTGGCACAGTGACAGGACTGCCGGACACCCAGGACTCCAGAAACTCAAGCAGGCCGCAGAGCCACCAACAAACACCCCTGCTGCCACTGCGCCTGCTGCCAACACCGGGCTGCAGTGAGTGGGGAGGAGCAGGCCCGGCGTGGGACGCCAGGACAGAGGGAAGGGAACAGCGGCAAGCAGGACATTTCCAAAGACTCATGGATGTCAGGGAGGAGGTTCACTGACGGTCTGTCCTCCACACAGAGGAACTGGGCTGTGGACAGAGGTGAGCAGCTGGCCACGCTCAGGAAACCTGCTGTGGCGTTGACTCCACAGAGAGGGAACTCTCCCAGCACACTCCCCAGGGCCGCCGTGACCTTCAGCTCCCTCCTCCCTGGGAAGAACATACCTGAGCCTGTTCCACCGCTGGCCTGGCCCGTAGTGGTGGTGGAGCAGGTGTGCCCGCCTGGCCGCCCCGCAGGCTTGCCGCGGCGCTCCCCTGGTCTGTCCTGGGGCACACGGCAGTGCCCATACCTCCCCAACCCCTTCTGCCCAGCAAGGGGACCTGCTGGGCAGGGCCTGGCCACAGCACCCGGATGGAGGGGCTGCAGCTCTGCCCCCGTCAGTGCACCCTAAGGAACCCCAAGGAGCTGTGCCTGGAGCCGCCACAGAGTGGCCAGGCGTGGGCTGGCAACAGGATGTGGAGGCTCCGACCCCCCGTAAGTTTACAGTCTAGTCCCCACGAGCACAAAGGGGAGCTGAGGAGAGGCTCAGGGCAGACCTTCTGAAGGAGGCTTGACATGAGCCTCACAGATCAACTGAGGTAGCCTGGGGCTGGGGGCTGGGCAGAGCTGGGTGCCGATGGTCAGCGTGCAGGGAGCCAGGCCACTGCAAAACTCCCCTTCTCAGCAGCCCTGAGCATAGTCTGGTCTCCCTCTTCCAGTCCAACTCTTAGCCAACAACTGGCACACCCAGTTTTGCCGCCTGCCTCCCCTCAAGTCAACCTCCACCTCAGCTCTGGTCCCATTGCCGCCGCCTCCTCCACACTCCCAGGTCCTCCACTGCAGCTCAAGAGCCAGCTCCTCTTCTCTCAGCCCAAAACCCTTTTCTCCCCCCATGACCTTCTGAACATGTGGATGACACTTGCTGACGCCACAGCCTTACTCCCACGTGACCTGGCTTCTGCCGGCAAATGCTCCTTTCCCTCAAGTCACCAAACGATGACCTCACTGCCAAACTGAGTTACTGCCTCCTCTTCCGTTCTCCTCAGGGCGTGGCAGCCAGCCTCAGGGCTGCCCCCATGCTACCCGCTCGGCCTGGGGGGGGGTTCCTCTGTACTCTCTCCACTTAGCAATGTGATGCCCCCCAGGGGGCCCCCCCACAGCACCATCAGTGGCAGCTGCCCAGCCCCCCACTCCCCAAACACGGAGCCTGGACAGACACTGACGTAGCTGCTATGGCTGCTGTCAACGCATCTGCAAGGAACAGCACGGCCAGCCGGGCAGCAACCCTCCCATGAATGTCTGGCGCCAAGGACTGCACTGGCCCTCCATGCCCTAAGTAAGCTGGTGAACTCTCCTGCAAGCCAAACGCCCCATAGGGACACCCTGGGCCACAGCCTTCTACTTCCGCTCCATCTGGAGCCAGACTCGGAAACCGCCTGTTTCTGTGGAGACTCGCAGCAGCTAGGTTCCAGGAGGGCAGTGCTATGCTCTGCTCATCTTTATGACTTCAGCAGGGATGGGCACGCTGCCAACTCTCAGCCAACATCAATCGTTGGCTGGCCTGAGAAACCAGAACTGACTTCAGCCCAACAGTAGGCCGGAACTGGGTGCTACCGTGGCCTCTGCTGAAGACCTGGGCAGGAAACCTCATGGCTGAGGCGGGACAAACACAGAGCAAGGCAATGTGTGAACAGGACTCTGATGTGGTGGGATCGAGGGCCAACCGTCTACGTGCAGCTGAGCCCCTGGCCGCACGCGGGGGTCGCTCCTGGGTCCCTCCTACACCCTGCCAAAAGAGTGAGCTCCTCCTACAGTGGGGGACTGAGCTTCCCTCACTTTGCTCAAGGTACAGGCAGGGATATGCCGAACAGCCTTGACCAGGGGCAGGTGCCGGGCCCACTGCACAGAAGGAGACACATCTATTCCGACCAGGATCGAAGGGAATCAAGTCCAAGCACCCTGCACTCTGGCCTGAGGCCGCCCCACCTCAAGTCTTGAGGCCCCTCTTCCAACTCCACCTGCAGCTGGTCCCCCCACCCAGCCCTGCATGCTGGCCCCACCTGAAGCACACGCCCTTCCCCTGCAGACACTTCAGCTGCCATTCTGAGCTGCGTTGCCTCTGACCTAGTGCCCACCCACCGTCGCTCCAGTACAGCTTGAGTCTCTGTCCGGCTGTGGCCTGCTGACCTGCGTGCATCTGCCCAAGGGGTGAAGCCTGCCCTGTGAGGATGTGGGCCTAGCACCTAGCACACTGCCTGATCAATCAGGATTTGCTGAGTGAAATACCTGTGGCAGGTGTCAACTCCCAGGGAGCTGCACAGTAGGAAGAGTAAGGCGCAGATTTGTGACACTGCCACTCTACGTGCTCACACACTGATGCCAACATCCATCTGCCCACTGGGAGGAACTAAACCCTGATTACGGATGCTCAGAGGCCGTTATTTAGTTATTAAGACAAGCCACTGACCCTTAAGGCCACATGGGTCCTGCCTCAAGGTAACTGTCAGGCTTTCAAATGCTGCCCCTTGGCTTCCCCAGAACCCCTTGCCTCTGCATCTAGCCCACACATGGGTGGCCAGGGCCACTCACCTATGATAGCCTCTTTCAAGCTGGACTCCACAGGCAGGATGTTCTTCTCCACCAGCTCCATGGGACCAGGCCTCTGTGCAATCTTCTCGTTGAGGTCATCAGCCAATCTGGCTCTTTTCAACTTCAGCTGTTTGGCCTGGAGGGAAGGCTCAGCCGAGGTCTCTGCCCATGGAGAGGAGGGTGGGGGTGGGGGGTGAGGATGAAGGAATGGACCTGGTTTTGCCTTGGGGCTCCAGGGGCCATAAGAAAGCCAAGTACCCTAGGCAGATAAAGTGGCCTAGCTTGAGGTTTCACCGAAGGGGTCACCACTGTGGACAGTATGTGGTCATGCACAATGGTCAGCAGGCACAGACCAGCTCTGAGGATTCTGAGGTGGAGCTATAGCGTGAAGAAGAGCACCAGACATCAGAGGCGTCTCCACCTCCCCTCAAGCCTGCTATGGGACTAGGGTGATTCACCTCCCTGCTCTGGGTTTCAGTGTCTCCATCTGCAAAATGTGGGGTTCAGACCAGGAAAATTCTCTTTCAACCCCAAAGATGGCTCCAAACTAAACCCAAAAAAGGGCAGACTCATGCTACTCTCTGCGCCGGACTGCTCCGCCACTAGAACGTGGAGAACGGGCATGCTGGGCCATGCAGGGCATGACCAGGACGCTCCCACCGGCCCGTCACAGCAAATGCTGAATGAGTGAATGGAAACAGCAGAAATGCATTTTGAAACCAATTTTGGAGGACAGAAATTCACAGGGAAGTATGAGAGACCCAGCAGCACCCAACAGTCAGGAGAAAAGAGCCGTCAGCCAAGAGGAGGCGAGTCTGTCCCTGGGATGCCCTGGTGCCAGGGCGGCTGCCACAGCACTGCCACTGCACTGGCGAGGGCTCTGCTTGCCAGCTCCAGCTGACACAGTGATGAAGAGGGAAGGAGAACCGTGGGCAGTCAGCGGTGGAACAGTGAGAACCCAGGTCTAGACGGAGGATCATTTCTAGTCTTAACACACCTTCTAGAATGTGCATCCTGACCAGCTCCGATCTCTCTGGCCGGGATCGAATCTTCCGTTTCAGATAGTCTTCCGTCTATGGAGAAAAAAAACACCCCAAGTCCCTCAATCCAGGTCACAAGCTTGCAGCACACACAGCGTTGGCCACCCCCGCTGCCCCATGGTCTCAGCCCACAACTCCAGGGCTGCAGGGCTGGCAGAGGCCGCATCACATCCGCATCACAGCTGCACTACCGAGGCTGCCAGGCACCTGTCAAGACCCTTTGTCTCTGCCTTGGACTACTGCTCTTTTTCGCAAAATAGATTACTTTTACTACAATAAAGTACGTAATTATCGAAGAAACTTTGGAGACTTCGAAGGAAAAAGAATAGTATTTTTTTAATCACCCACTGTTAGAATTTTGGGATATTTGTTTCTAATCATTCTTCCACAGAGAAGGTGAGTTTAACTTTGCAGGGCTGTCATCATACCAAGTGTAACTTTATATCCTGTTTCAAAATTTTTAGCACTGCATGATCTCATGAGCATTTCCCACTCATTTTGAAGAATACCAAATGGAACACTAGTTTTGAGACACGGTGTCACAGCTCTAGTTTCTTAAAATCCAATGTCCTAATTTTGCATTTCTGAGACTCCAGGAAGCTAAACCATCCCCTCAGCTCCCACAGAGCCACCCCACTGCCTGGCCAATATTATAATAAGCGTGTGACCCCACTGTGTCTGACTGCAGAGCCTGCTCGCAACTTCTGTACCAGCACTCTCCAGAAGCCTAGCTCAAGACCCTTTGTGGGCAGCACCAGTACAGACAGGACAGGACAGGGCAGAATGGAAGAGGACAGAATGAAAATACAAACAGCAGAGCGCACTGCTTGTAGTAAAGGTAAGGTCTTGTCCCTGCGGGGGTGTGCTGCCTCAGGCCTCCTGGGAAGCAGCAGAGTGTCCGCCCCAGGGCGGTGCTCAGTGCTCCAGGAGCTGGTCCAGAGAGGCCGTGGGCAGGGCTGGCCCCCACCCACAGTGAGCAGTAGCACTGCCACGGCTGCTGAGAAGACAGGAAAGGCGCTGGACACTGAGGTCTTCATGGCCTAGGGTGGAGGCTTATTTTCTGACCATGGGAAGTTCTGAACAGCAGCCAGGCAGAGCAGAACACAGTACCGACTAAGAGAATAGCTGGGGTCCACAGGCCAGCAGCCTTGCCAGTTACAAGTTAATCTCCTCAGCTGCATCTATAAAAAAAGGACAGTAACCCCTCATCTGTAAGAACTGATCATAAACAAGAAACTGCTAAAACCTCGTGTACGAACGTGCTCATAAAATAGCAGCTGCTGCTTACTTTTTAAGAGGCAGTCTAGGCATCGCTGCCAAGCCTGAGGACGGGTGGGGGCACAGGCAATGTCAACCCCCCAACCCATGTTCTCCAGCCCAGCAACTCAAACAGGCAGCTCATGACTGCGTTGGCCCCAGTACCCAAGACCGCATCTTCCCACTCTGAGGAATATTTCCCTTAGGGAAAATTTTATAATAAAAAGATGACAGTAAGAAAAGCCTCAGAGGCATGTAATTCAGAGTCTCTGAAAAAGTGTGGGTCTTAGGGAGCCCCAGCCTATGATTCTGCCTTTGGGGAGCTTCTCTTCCCCTGTCTCTTATGTGAAGTGAAGAGAGCAGGAGAGAGAAGCATATTCTGGCGACTTCCCCATCTCCACCCACACTGGGCAGCAGAATATCCCCTGAGGCCCCTGCGGGAACTGAAACTGATGGGGACAGGGCAGCAGGCCAGGTGCTGCAGCATGAGCCTGGCTCAGATCCAGGCCAGCTTCTGCTTCCACAGCCTCAGCAGACACAGGGAGGGGGCATGGGGGAGACAATACACACAGAGACCAGAGAGGCCCCTGGCCCTAGACTGTCCACCCTGGAGCAGTGGGCAGTGCCGTCACAGAGGAACTCAGCAAGCACTTCCTGGGCTGGCGGTCATGTCCCAACATCTATAAAAGGTTAAGTGGGTGTAACGATGGGGAAAGAGCAGTCTCCAAAGCAAGGCAGAGAGGCCTGGTACATGAGAAGAGGAAGTCTCCTCGACTGTGCTCCTTACCATCAGGCTGAGAGGTGGCTGGGGGTAGGGGTAGGGATGAAGCAGGAAAAGCAGAGCCCTCTGAAGCCAGGGCTGACGCTGGAGGCATGCTGGACTCAAAGGCACACAGGCCCTGAGAACGCACTCTGGCCGGCCCTGGAGAGGAACGGTGCCTTACCCTGGCCCGCTCCAAGCTCCTTCTCTGCTCATGAAACGCAGCTGGGCTTTTCAAAGCTGTTGAGAGAAGAACCATAAGAGAATCACTTTACATTGAAAGAGCACTTCTACTATTATAATTTACAGTGAGAAGGCGCCTTAAACTCAAGTTAATTTTAGCAGTACTACTAATAGCAGCTGAAGTGAAGAAGAAAAATGCACCTGAGCAAGCATTCAACTTCATGGCTCAGCTCCCCCATCAAAACCATTTTGGTTACTTTCTTCCTACAGGAACAGCCATGGCCTAGGCGTGGGCTCTACCACCTGTGCCCACGGAACAGACCTCAGAAAGTGCCCAAGGCCTGTTGCTGGCAGCAGCCTTCCCCATGGTCAAGCCCGAGAACACCTGCTATGCCTCAGCGACACCTCCTGCCGGGAGGTGGGCACCCAGGAGAGGGCAAGTCCTCAGGCCAGGCCCCGCACCGCTTCCCCTCATCGGGATTACAAGTGACCAAACTGTGGAAATGGGGCAGTTAAACCAAAAGGACATGCAGACACTCAGGGGCCATTTCCTTCTTCACTTTGGCTGCTATTAATAGCAGCAGCTAAAATTAACGTGAATTTCATCTCTAAGGACTAACAGAGCTTCAGTGATGGTATGGCTGGCCGGGGTGCACTCGCCCATCAGCTGACAAGCAGGACTAGCCACAGTGAGCTAGCCCAAGACGCGGCTCTACTGGGGGGCTGCCTCTGCCAGACCATGCCAGACCATGGCGCTCCATGAGGGCAGATGAAAGCAGGGTCCTCACAAATGCAGCACATGAGGACAGTTTTCTTGTGAAAAACTCGGCTGTGAGGGGGAAAGATGAGCTAGACACCCTGAAGCTAAAGGGGAACCAGCCTGACTCACTTCAGGTGGGGAAGCCAGCAATTAAGGGAGAAATGACAGGACTCTGGTCAGTTTCACTTCTGCTCCCAGAATTTCAGAACAGCTGTGAAACTGTGTGTGGAGATAACTTTTGCCAGGCTGCTGGCTGTGGTGGGAGGTCAGGGGCAAGGAGACGCTAAAAGTAGCAAGCGCACAGATAGGACCCTATCCTGCCCAGGCCGCTGTGCTTCCTCCTCGCACCCCACCCCGTGGAGGCTGGGCCTCAGCACAGCACCCCAGAAGAAAAGTTGAAATGTCTTTCTTTTTAAAACATTTAAATTTTTTAGGAAGATTTTTCTAAACTTTGGCATAAAAAAGAAACCTCTTTAAAAGATCTGCTGAGAGCCTTCCCACCTTCTACCAGCAGGGGGAGCTCTAGATTTAACCGCTCAACCCCAAAAGAGCCAGCCCAGCTTCCACCCAGCGTGCTGGGGCACTCCAGGGCACTCGCTAGCCAGGATGTGCAGGCTCCAAATGGGGCGGGCCGCTCGGGGCACCCCAGTGGGTAAGCACAGCCCCTGCTCCTGCTTCTGCAAGGTAAAGCTGGCTCAAATCCAGGTCAGTCTCCAAAAGCCCTGATTCGCAGGCATCTGTGCTGGGTATGAGGCCCAGCAGGGAAAGGAGCATACAGCCTCACTCTTGCAGAGTGTATCACATGGGTGAGGCATGAAGAACAGAGTCCAAGGGAACACACCTTGTCCACCTCACTCCACCCCCGCCCTGTGTGCCTGACCCCTCTCCACAGCGCTCGATCGCTGACATCCTTCACAGTCAAACTCGCATCTCCTGCCATCAGAACCACGTCTGTATTTGGGGGGCAGGGATTAGTCTATCGCTTTCATTCCTGCCAGTATCCTTAGCTCTGGGAGTACCCAGCACGTAATTCACCCAATAAATGAGTGAATAGTCTGCAGGATATGAATACAAAAGTGCACACTAGCCACAGGAAGAACTGGATTCTCGCAGTCGAGGTCCCAACTCCACTAGAACCACCCACATGGTGCTCTTCTACTTCAAGACTTATCTTCTGAGTGGAAAACCAAGGCCCACCACCAGGGAGCTATGGCGTGGGCGGCGGCCTTCCAGGTCTCCTTTGCTTCCCACCCTCCCTCCAGAGCTCTCGCAAAATCAGATGAGCATGAAAGTGACCGGAAGTGAGCAGCGCTGCCTGTTGCGGGCTCCAGGCAGCACACAGTGATCTGGGGGATTCAGGCCCTCTTCACACCAAAGCACAAGGGTACAGTCACAACTCCAGCCATCTGCTGCCTTGACAACCCCTACAGGCTTTCCCAAAGGGTGAAGACAAATCCGAGTTCTGGAAATACAGTCCGCAAAGCACAGAATTTTGATGGGAGGGGAATGTCCACATCATGTGCGAGAATGCCACACCATAAATGGGGACAAGGCACAGGTGAAGTGGCTCCCTTCTTAGTTCCATGGAGTTAAGGAAATTTAATACCAAGCGCCTGTCTATGTGGCGGGCAATGCTCGACATAATTTGGGCATGTTTCTAACATGATATTCCTAATGATTCCATGTGACAGGTACTGATAAGGAAAGGTCCAGAAAGGTTAGGGAGGGGCCACAAATGGAAGTTAGGATGACCATCCTTCTCACCCTAAACGTCCTTTTCAGGCCTCTGGTAGGTCTTTTAACCTCTTCAGTAAGAAGAAAGGAAAGACCTTCCTGGATGAAGAGGCCTCAATGGCACACCCTGCTCACACTGAGGGCTGTGTGCAGGCACCATGGACAGGTCAGCCCCACCACACTCCTGAGCACAAAGTGGTATAGGAGGCTCAGAAGAGATCAAAGTGACCACAGGCACAGAAAGCCATGGTTCAAAACCTGGGGCTCACCATGGACCTAAAAGGTCAGCCTTTACTAGAAGCCCAGCCAGAAGGGCAATGGAAGGCCAGAGGAGTTTTTTAGCTGCCCAAGACCTGGTCAAGAGAACTGGAAATGGGCGTTCAAAAACCGATTTCAAGTCGAAGGTTACCAATCTCATGACGCTCATTTTCTGACACTATAATCTCATGGCTTCCTCTTCACAAGGTTTATACAGGCCAACACAATGCTGGGCTGCAAACAGTAGCCACAACACCATTCCCTTTCTTTCTTCACCTGAACCTCTGACACACGTGTGGTCTCTCTCCATCTTTGAAGAGCCCACTGTGTGCGGCTGCTTTTTCCCAGTTCTAAATCCTGCTCTCTGGTAGCAAGTTCGCCTTTTTCAAAAGTGAAAGAATCGAGCAATGACCCCATTCCTTCAAGGATGGACTTGCAGAACTCTGGGCAGGTGCTTTGCAGGCCCGTATGGGGTATCCAGTGCTCTTGGCACCCTGGGCTGGGGTAAAGAGGGCTCTCATGTGTATGCCCAGCAGCTCTGCTAAGAGCCACAGCTGTGGAGGGCAAGCTGGCACAGGAGACAGAGGGACTGGTGTTCACTCAATCAAGAACTCAGAAGTCAACACAAACTCCCTTGAAAGTCAAACGATCACATTAAATTTAGGTCCTCAAACCTGAGCTTTCCCATCAGCAGCCCTAGACTGACTTACACACGCAGGCAAATGAAAACCTAGTTGCCCAGGGTGGTGCTAGAAATGCATCTCAGCAAGGAATGGACACAAGGGACCATGACGCCTCATTTCCTCCACATTATCATCAAGGAAAATTGAATTTAGGTGTCTGGGTCTGAATGTCACTTTATTAGGTGGTGACATAATAAAACAGTGGTTTCTACTCTGGCTAACAAATATGCCAGGACCTCCCCACCAACCCTGTACTCAGAGGATCTCCAAGGCTACCCAGAGCACAGCTAACAGACCCATGTCGTGCAACAGTCCACACAGCTCCCCTTGCAGGCAAGATTCCTGCTAGATTCTTCCTCTACCTTGAAAGCAGTGGGCAGACAGAGGACCATTCTGGAGGTGAGCGTGAGCATCGGAGCAAATATTCCTAACAAGTCCAGAGGGAGCCCACACCAACCCACCTCCCTACCAGGAACAGGTCCCAAGTACGTAGGTACTATGCTCGGTCCCGAGAGCTGGATACACTGATGGGCTCCTGAGCCACAAATACAGCTCATGGCTTGGTCAGGGAAATGTCAACCACAAAACAAGATGGTCTGGAGTCACAGAGGTCATCTCTAGTGGTAGAGAAGACAGAAGCAGCAAAATGCATCAGAATGCAGCCTGAGGAAAGAGTGAGAACCAGCCAGGTAGATCTTATAGAGAAAGCCCCCAAGTGAATGGTAAGAAACACCAAGGGTAGACAAGGGAGGGAGCGGGATGTCCTGAGGTAGAGGAGGAGCAAGAGCATGAAAGGATGCATGTTCATGGGACACCAGCAGTCTGAGTTCATGTTGGGGATAACAAGCCTCGAAGGGGAGACAGGGCCCGCCCATGACAAGCTTGGTTGTGCTTTTGTCGGGAAGATGGAGCAGACAGACTATATTCTCTATCCTTCTTACTAAGTACAACTAAGAACTCTGGACATTGCCTACAAAACCATCCAAGTAGGTTGTGGAAAGTGGAGAGAAGGCAGACTGGCGAAGGACCTGGGGGCTGCAAGCCACACACAGGTGAGCGCCCCGAGTTCCTGTTTTGTTCCACACATCTCAGACTTGGAGCTGAAGACAACAAACACCACTGCAGGCAGACCAACAGAGCCCCAGCAAAACCTACTCTTGTTAGGCAAGGGCCAGGAAAAGGGAAGCCCACCAAGAGAAAACATTGGACGGTAAAGCTCTGCTCCAGCCCAACACCACTTAAAGACAATGGCCTCAACTGCCCCCATCAGGAAGGGATGTATGGGGTACAGCGTCTAGCTTTTGACCCTCAGCAGGCCTAAGGAGGCACCGGTACTCTCAGCCCAGTCTGATGCTCCTGGCCTAGTCCAGGCAGTGTCAGGAAGGCCAAATAAGACCCAGTAGGTCATCCCCGGCAGTGGTGAGGCAGCCTCCCTCCCTACAGAAGTGCCTGCCGGTAGGGCTCCTGAAGGGTCAGGACTTTCAACAGGGCCCAGGAGAATGAAGAGCATTTCCCAAGAATATAGGCACTCGCGCAACTAAAATAACATCACACCTGAGAAGATCAACATTAATTCAGTCACATAATCTAATTTACACTTCACATTTGACTTCTCTGTCTCC